TCAGTCATTGTCACCATTTTCATTCCATCGACTATTCACACCAGTGATAATCTGATGTCTCTAGTACCTTTGGATTTAGGTGCTCCCTCCCTTTGATTATTTTGAAGTTTTTTGTATCCGAATTAGGAAAATAGGTGAGTTAATTTTTAGGGATTATCCAAGTCATCGATTTTTGTCAATTTTTATGAAAAATTTAAAAATTGCGAAGTTTTTCAGATTAACCGCATACCTCAAAGCCATACGTCCCTCCAACAATGCTGCATGCAGAATCGTCGGATCTGATTGAGTCGAAGACGGCAATGCTCAAATGCTGGAGAAGGCATGGATCTCGTCGAAATGTAGTTATGAAAGGTATTATTACTCAATCTCGGGAATAATCAAGTAGCATTTCGAGATTTAGGAGATACCACGCAACACCATTGCAGTAACGTTCTCAATGAACGGCTTCAAAATCGGAGATACCTGCACGGAATTTATCAAGAAGTGGAGCGGTTAACAGTTTCTAATTTTTTTTCGCTAATTTTTCATGAAAAATAAATTATTTGGGTATGTACAACATTTGTTTTGTTCAAGGCTGAAATGACTTCAAGATATTAGTGGTTCTCTACAGTCAACTCGAGAAACTCCGAAAAGAACTTCACTCCCCGAATCCTTAACCGTTCCTATTCAGAGTATTCCTGACCTTAAATAGTAATAGATCAATTGGGAAAATTAATGAAAAGATTGATTATATAAGGTTGGGAAGAAAGTTTCTGTGCATTTTTGAAAATTCTCGTATTTTTGAAAATTCTTGTACAAAGAAAAAGAGGACCACTGGTAAAAAATTCATTTTTTTGGTTTTTTGTCCATTTTCCTTAATCTCTAGGCTTTTTTAAAACAAGTTTTAAGACCTCAAAAACCCGTAAAAAAGGTCTGAAATCCTTCAAAATTACCTGCAACCCCTTGTAGCGAAAAAAACGAAAGAAAAAAAGCATTTGGACGGTGAGCGGATCGAACACTCAACCTTTCGATCTGGCGTCGAACGCGCTACCATTGCGCCAAGCAGTCGCCGGCAGTTGAGGGGATAGAGGGCATAGAGGAGAGTGCCGGGGGGAGACGGCCGAGCAGAGGCAGAGAGGAAGGGGTCACGGAAGCGACAGGGCTGTCGATATGGCGGGTGTGTCCGGATGTCCGCGCATGTTTTGTTTGGATAGGGGGTTTGAAATTGGGTATCAAAAAGGCATGAGTTTTAAAATGGTAAGGAAAAGGTGCCGCGGCTCATTTTTTTATCGAAAATGGTTTATATTTCTGTGTCAAAGTGGTTTTTTCCAGGTTTAAACTTCTTCCTTTATATCTAGATCATTTTCACTTTGTAGATTTCTCTGTAGAATTCGAGTTTTGCAAGTTCCATACTGCCGTTGTTTTATTTTTGGGAGGTCAGGGGGCCGTTGTTTTCTGAGCGCACCTCTGAAGTCGAATTGAGCCGAATAGTGCGCATCAGATCTGCGACTCTGATGATTAGCAGTCATCTGATCAGGATTTTCTTAAAGATGTAATACACATTAGTATCTTGAATTTGAAAAATTGAGAAAAACTGGTTGGGAACAGGGGTTTATCGGAATATAGGGTCCGATCATTATTCTTAAAACTAACTGTATTATTCGAGGCAACATTTTTTTAAAACTTTTTTTAGCGAAATTTTTTGTTTAACCTGACATGCCATATTCAATTAGAGGAAACGATAACTCTTCCTAACATGACAATGTAAAATAGGACCACCGGGCAAACATTTCATTTTTTCCGATATTGGTTCATTCTTCTCAATCACTTGGCTCTTCAAATAGGTTCTAAAACCTCACAAACCCGTAAAATAGGTCCTAAACCCTTAAAATTACCTAAACCCTTTTAGAGCAGAAAAACAGAAAATAATAAAAAGCATTTAGCACTGTGATGATCGAACGCCCAACCTTTCGATCTGGCGTCAAACGCGCTACCATTGCGCCAAGCAATCGCCGGCAGCTGAGGGGATAGAGGGCATAGAGGAGAGTGCCGGGGGAAGACGGCCGAGCAGAGGCAAAGAGGAAGGGATCAGGGAAGCGGCAGGGTCTGTCGGTAGGGTGGGCGAGTCCGGATGTCCGAGCATGTTTTGTCTGAATAAGGTGGTTCGAAAAAAAGAATCAAGAGGGAATAAATTTTAGAATGATGAGAGGAAGGTGCCGCGGCTCATTTTTCAATCGAAAATGATCTATTTTTCTGTGTCGAAGTGGTTTATTCCAGGTTTCAACTTTTTCCTTCATAGCTAGATTGTTTTCTCTCTGTAGATATGTTTTTTTTTGTATTAATTATTTTGAGTTTCAATTCAATTTGTTGGGAGAAACATAAGAAAGAGGATGCACTCCAAGAAATTACTCGTTTTTCAAAAGATCTTTAATATTTTTCCGGAGTTTTTTTTTTAATTTTTTTTCACTGCTAGGTTATTGTCTTGGTTCTAATATTTATCATTTTTTTGTATTAGGCATTTCGAGTTTCAACTCTATTCGCGAAGAAATTTTCCACTTTTGAGTCAAATCTTCCAATTTTTTCCAGGTTTCTTTCTTCTCTTCCGCTAGGTTATTTCTTTGTTTGAAATTTTTGAGGTTTGAAGACCTTTTTGAGTTCTGGTAAAGGCTTTTGTTCATACACTCTTTGCAGTCACACAGGCGTCGATCGATATCGTGCGCCTATAAATGGAAAGAGAATAGGACCACTATTTACGAACTCATGATTTCAAATGAGTTCTATATATTATTGGATGGGCCATCTGGTCATGATTTTTTGAAGGTTCAATACACACGAGTATTTTGAATTTGAAAAATTGGAAAAAAAGCCTGTTGGGAACAATGGTGTTTCGAAAAATAGAGGCCAACTAAATCCCTAAAACTTATAATGTCGTTTAACCTATTTTTTGAATAACTATCTGAATAATGGAGCTCAAAAATTCTATTGATTTATTAAAATTTTATTCTTTCAGTGCTTCGATAATCTGTTCACTTCCAATTTTTGTCTATTTTTCTGCCATGCGGTCATAGTGTGAAAACAATTTGTTAGATTTGCTTGCTTATTGAAATAAAAACACACATTGCTTCATCAAACATTTTATTCGACCTCTTTTGCCCGTTGTAATGTAGACCAAAGCCCTCCAATTTTTTTTAGGTGTTTGCAGGAGATAGCTTTTTTTTTTGCAAATGCTACTTTACACAATTGGATGATGAAGACAAACAATGACGTGTTCGTTACTTCGGCTTTTGACTCCCCCGCCTCTTTTTCAAATTTTTTACAGCGACCAGATTCATTCATTTTTCTATTTCACATTGTCTATCTTGTGATTGTTGGACATTTGATTTTTGGTTGTTTTGGTGAGTTATTAATGTGAAAAAATTCTAATTGAAATTTATCTTTTCAGAATTGGTTTCTTCTTCTGACTCTCCGGCGAGGGTCTATCGTTTGATTATTTTGTATATTGGATTGGATTGGGCTTTGATTCCTTGGTGAGTCCGAATTTACTCTAACTTTTTTTCGCAAAACAGTTCTGAATGAAAATTTTTCACTAATAGTATTGAAATGATTTTTTCGAAGTCATTGTTGTTTACTGTCATAGTGGAAGTATGTGCTGTCTTGGTGACGGAAATTGTTGTTTCATTTTTTTTGGTAGCTAAGAAAGCGGTGTCATTTGTGGTCATTTTTTGTGGTTAAACGATTGCTGGATTAATAACAATATAAGTTTTGCAGTTGTGTCCGACATGGAAACCGACTTTGATCCGTGGCAACATCAAGATGAATATCAGCACCAAGGAAACAAGGGACAAGAAAAGAAATCAAGAAGATTGAGACCAGAAGAGTCCCTGGCGCTGGAGTGCGTTTGGAGATTACGTCAATGCGAACAAGCAGCGAGACAGTCGGAAAGTTCGATGCTGACAGCTGTGGAAGAAAAAGAAGATCTTCGCGGGAATGACAGAAGAGGGAAAGATGTCCGGAGAGCTAGAAGTATGGAAGCAAATGGAAGCAGTGAGGACTCGGCTCTATGGTTCACTCCTGCTATACCACGCAGACTGCAATAAGTTCAAGAACTGAAGCAAGGGAGCAGCCAAACGAAAGTGAGATGCCTTAAGAAGGACTTCGCCAAAAAGGACAACCTCAAATACACCTTCCTACTGTGCAACAGACGGCACATTTCCAATATGTGTCCCAAATACACAGACGTGGGAATTCGGAGAAAGTTTCTCGAGGAGAAGAAGTAGTGCTTCAAATGTCTGAAGCGAATGAAAGGCGACCGAATTTTGCTTGCACTCACACTTAATCCTCCTAAAGACCACGATTTTTCACGGGTGGGAAGGACTACAGATTTCGTGGTAATAAATTGATGGTGTCGGTAATTATTGGTGATGTTTTGATGGTGATTGGGATACGGGGATATTGAATAATAATAATAGATAATTAAAGACAAGGAGCATAGGAGAAAAAACCGCCATGTAGAATTACTCAAAACCCTTTGGAGCAGATAAAAAAAAAAAAAAAACATTTGACCAAAAAAAAAAATAGAAAAGAAAAAGCATTTGAACGCTGAGCGGATCGACCGCCCAACCTTTCGATCTGGAGTCGAACGCGGTACTGCGCCAAACATTCGTTGGCAGCAGAGGGGAAAGAGGGCATAGAGGAGAGTACGGGTGGAGGCGGCCGAGCAGAGACGAAGAGGAGGGGGAGGGGAAAGTAGGGAAGCGGCAGGGTCTGTCGGTAGGGTGGGCGAGTCCGGATGTCCGTGCATGTTTTGTCTGGATAAGGTGATTTGAAAAAGTGAATCAAGAAAGAATAAGTTTCAGTTTGAAGAAGAGGAGGCGCCGCGGCTCATTTTTAGGTGGTTAAGACCTCGAAAGAACCCCCTTTTTTAGGGGTTAAGACCTCGAAAACCCGTAAAAACAGTCCAAACTCCTTTAAAATTACCAGAAACACCGTGTAGCAAAAAAAGGAAAGAAGAAAAAGCTTTTTCAATGATGAGCGGATCGAACGCCCAACTATTCGATCTGGAGACGAATGCACTACCATTGCGCCAAACAGTCGCGGGCAGCAGTGGAGATAGAGGACATAGAAAAGAATGCGGGGGAGGCGGCCGAGCAGAGACAGAGAAAGAGAAGGTGGAAAGATGGAAGCAACAACGTCTGTCTGTGGGGTGAGTGTGTCTGGATGTCCGCGCATGTTTTGTCTGGATAGAGTGACTTGAAGGAGGAAATCAAAAGGGACTGAATTTTGAAATGGTTAGGGGAAGGTGCCGCGGCTCACTTTTAGGTCAAAAACAGCTTTCTTCTGTGTCAAAGTGGTTTTTTCCCACATCGCCAGGTTTTTTTCTTGCTCTCAATATGTTTTTTTATTTTGTATGAATCATTTCGAGTTTCAACTACCTTCGTGGGGTGATGCACAAAAAACATGCTGCACTCCAAGAAATTTCTCATTTTTCATAAAATCTTCAAATTTTTTTCGAGGTTTCTCACTTTTTTTCATCGCTTGGTAATCCCTTTGTTTGGTTTTTGAAATTACCTAAAACCATTTGTAGCAAAATTACAAAAAAGAAAACGCATTTGACCACTGAGGGATCGAACCTTTCGATCTGGAGTCGAACGCGCTACCATTTCGCCAAGCAGTCGCCGACAGTAGAAGGAAAAGCGGGCGTAGAGGAGTGTGCGGGGAAAGGCGGCCAAGCAAAGATAGAGAGGAGGGGGAGGGGAACAAGTCAGCGACAGGGTCTGTCTGTGGGGTGAGTGTGTCCGGATGTCTGCGCATGTTTTGTCTGAATAGGGTGGTCTGAAAAAAGGAATCAAGAAAGAATAAGTTTCAGCATGGAGAAGAGGAGGCGCCGCGGCTCATTTTTAGGTCAAAAATGGTTAATTTCTGTGTCAAAGTGGTTTTTCCAGGTTTCCGGCTGCATTCGAAGAAATTTTCCATTTTTGAGTCAAATATTTTTTAATAAGAGTTTTTTTTTTACATTTTTCCTTTTTTTATTATTTCATTTTTTGAATAAAAATGCTAGTTGAAAGAGAGAATATAAAACACGTTTCATTTTTTTGAATTTAGAAGAATGGAAAAAGAGAAAAGCTCTGATGGAAGCTGTATAGTCGTTGTGACTTGGCGTGCGCGCGTGACTTTTAGAAATGGTCATTGTTTGTCTGCGGTTGTTGCGAAAAATCGGAAATTTTGTATTTGTGTTTATCTGTACATGGGAAAATGAAAAATAAGGATTGGATAAGTAAAACGGTTTAAAGCAAAACTAACTTTGAATGAATATAAGAAACCAAAATGCTCAGAGTATTTTTTAAAAAACCCAAACAAAAAAACAAAAGTGGAAAAAGCTTTTTCAATGATGAGCGGATCGAACGCCCAACCTTTCGATCAGGAGTCGAACGCGCTACCATTGCGGCAAGCAGTCGCCGGCAGCAGAGGAGATAGAGTACATAGAGAAGAATGCGGGGAAAGGCGGCCGAGCAGAGACAGAGAATAGGAGGAGTGGAAGCAGGGAAGCGACAGAATCTGTTTGTGGGGTTGGTGTGTCCGGATGTCCGCGCATCTTATGGTTTGATAGGGTGGTTTGAAAAGGAAATCAAGAGGGAATGAATTTTAGAATGATGAGGGGAAGGTGCTGCGTCTCATTTTCAGGTTCGAAAGGTTGGCATATCAAAAATGGCTTATTTCTGTGCCAAAGTGGTTCTCTCCGGGTTTTTTGAGGAGATGTATTAAAAACAGGCTGCTCACCAACAAATTACTCTTTTTTTCAAATGAAATCTTCCAATTTTTCCCGAGGTTTCTTACTTTTCTCTATATTGCCAGGTTATTCCTTTGTTTGAAGTTTTTCGAAATCCAAAAAAAGGTTTTGTGCATACACTCGTTGCAGTCACACAGGCGTCGATCGATATGGTTGAGTATAATCATGAATGGGTTTGAAAAAAACAAAAAATTCAAAAATGAAAGATGCATGCATAAGAAAAAACCAAGAATAGAACAAACATGCCCTTGATTATACTCATTCGAACCGTTATGATCAAGAGATCACGAGAATCAAAACTAATAAGTGTTTTGTAAACAGGGCAGCAAGTTATAGCCAAAAAAAACTTTTCCAATTGAAATTTGACTTCTTCTCGGTTCACAGCTGTTCAAAGTAATTTGTATCGATTTTAACTCATATAGTCATTTTCTCCCGGCTGTGAGCATTCATTTGAGTATAATCATGACTGGGTTTTATAGAATTTTACATTTTTCCCGAATTTTCAAAATTAAAGGCGCATGCGTATGAAAAAACCAAAATTAGAACAAACATGTTCTTGTTTAAACTCAATCGAACCGTTATGATCAGCAGATAACGAAAATCAAGGCTAATCCGCATTTTGCAAACATTGCAGCAAGATATTGGGTACACAAACTTTTTTTGAACGGAAGTTTGACTACTCCTCAGTTCACAGCTGTTCAAAGTGATCTGTATCAATTTTGACTCATATGGTCATTTTCGCTGGTTATGAGCATTGATTTGATAATAATCATCACTGGGTTCGAAAAAATCTTTCAATTTCCTGAAATTATGAAAATTCAAGACAAATGCGTATGAAAAAACCACATAGAGGAACAAATATGCCCTTGATTATACTCATTCAAACCGTTATGATCAGGAGATAACGAAAATCAAAACTATTCCTTGTTTTGTAAACATGGCAGCAAAATATTGGAAAACCAACCTTTTTTTGAACTGAAATTTGACTTCTTTTCAGTTCGCATCTGTTTCAAGTGATTTTATTAATTGTTTGATATTATTGCAGATTTCCTTATTTTTCTGGTTTTTCACCATATTTACCCCTTATTGTTGTTGTTGGGGACTAAAACCAATAAATTGCCAATGATTTTACATTTTTGGTTTAAAAAAACAACATTTCTAAATTAATTTTTTTCCAGATGGATCTAGGTTTTTTAGTTGGTAAAAGTAACCGCGAAGTTCCTTTTTAACAGGCCTAGCCTACCTACATCATTCTGCTCTTCTCTCTCTTTCTCTCTTCAGACACAGAAGTCCTATTCAAGAACAATTTTATTTTGCAAACATTGAAACATAACGTTAGAAAAAAAAGAGAAAAAAACAATATAAATTATTCAAACTTAACCAAATTCCTATTAAAAATTAAGAAGAAAAAAAGTTAATATAATAAATTACTGCGGGGCTTGTCGATGATATCCGGGAATCATGGAGTAGTTGGTTGGTAAGTGGGCGGGATTGATAAAACTGTGAAGGCGGCAGTTCACGCACTCAATTTGATGTTGCGGGAAGCCCGGGCCTCAGATGTTGCTTGGACGGAAGAGGCGCTGTGTGCATCCTCGGCATATTGTGTGCCCACAGCCTGTGAAATATTGGTTTAGAAAACCAACATTTTTGTAGATGGATCTAGGTTTTAAGTTGGAAAAAAGTAACCGTGAAGATCCTTTTTAACAGGCCTACCTACTTCATTCTGCTCTTCTCTCCCTCTCTCTTTCTCTCTCTCTCTCTCTCTCTCTCTCTCTCTCTCTCTTTCTCTCTTTAGACACAGAAGTCCTATTCAAGTTTTTTTTTTATTGAAAAGCGGAAAAAAAACAATATACATTAAACACTTAACAAAAATTCCTATTAGAAATTAAGAAGAAAAAAAAACTTAATATAATAAATTACTGGGGGGCTTGACGATAATAACCTGGAATCATGGCGTAGTTGGTTTGTAAGTGGGCGGGGTTTATAAAACTGTGAAGGCAACAGCTGACACATTCGATTTGATGTTGCGGGAATCCTGGATCTTGGAAGTTGCTTGGTTGAATTAGCCGTTGAGTGCAACCGCGGCACAGCGTATGGCCACACCCTGTAAAATTTTTAAAATATTGGTCAGGATTTAGTTTGAAAAAAAAGGAGCAAACTATGTAACTGAAAAAGTGAAGACAGTTCTACCTATTTCTCCCTTTCCTTCTTCACATGTTCTAAAAATTTGACCACAAGTCGGGTATGTAACTGAGATATTAAAGACCGCTCTCTCTCTCTCTCTTTATTCTTTTTCGCATATTCTTAAAATTTGGCCACAAACCAAACCGGGTATGTAAGTGAAAAACTGTAGACAACTCTCTTTTTCTCTTTCTTTCCTTCTTCACATGTTCTAAAAAATTACGAAAGATACTAAGGCAAGATTGGAAATCTCTGACTTGAAATTACACATGCGAGCAGTAGAAGTTGTTTCTTCTGCAGCTATTACTATAGAAAATCGTAAGTGCCGTAACTCAAGTTTTCGAATTTTGGATAACAAAGTATATATTTGGAATCAGCGTGAAAAGGCGAATATAATGAATATAATATCAAGGGGTTCCGACAAGCTGAAAAACTACCGTAACCCTAGGACTACAAAAACTATAAAAATGATGGACATTTTCATGTTCCTCGTGAGGGGATTGTGATTTTAGCTAACTGCCCCTACCTAAAAAATCAATGATCATTCTCCAATGTTTCTCATTCTTCATTAGATTTCACTAGTTTCACCTGGGAAAAAGAGAGGGTTCTACTGTAGTTGGATGGACCCAAGCCATTTTTTGAAATTGGATGGACCCAACAGAGGGGTCAAAAAGTTAGATGGACCCAAGAGAGGTGTCGAGAAGTTGGGTGAACCCAAGAGAAAGATCAAAAAATTGAATGGACCCAAGACGGGCACCTAAAAGTTGGGTGGACCCAAAATGAACATAAATAAAAATGACATATTGAGAATCTGCTCTTTTCTCAAAAAAAGATTTTATTTCTTTTCTCAAGGTGATTTCTTATACTTCATCGAGTTTTGAAAACAAAAAATCACACAAAAACGGGTCCTCAATGGGCCTTTGCCGTTCATTGGAATTTTTGGGTCCACCCAATTTCCAAGTGCCTGTCTTGGGTCCATTCAATTATTGTGTCCCTCTGTTGAGTCCATCCAACTTTTCGACCCTTCTCTTGGGTCCATCCAATTTTAAAAAATGGCTTGGGTCCATTCAACTACAGTAGAACCAAAGAGAGAATTGGTAAGGATTTTTTCTATCCATCCAAAAA